AAATCTAATCATTAACGATATATCTTATACATATTCAATTCCCCAATATTAAATACAAGTTGATTTATTCATGATCAGTCTCTTATTTACGAAAAACGCTGATATAGCATGCAGTGACCTAGAGTCGAATTTGAAAACGGGGGGGGGGGGGTAAACTTGCTTGAAAAGTATTTGACAAGCAAAAAACAAAAACAAAAAACAAAAGAAAAAGATGACAATTGTTTGTTTTAAGTGGGGGGCTTACCCCCCCCCCCTAACCCTCCCGAAACAAACAATTGTCATCTTTTCAACATCTTTCAGTACTATGTTTTTACACAATTTACTACATTATATTGATTACATTAACAAAACAACGGTGTCAATGAACATTTTTATAGTAAAAATTAAGGTTATGACTGGAAAAAGTTGGGGGGGGGGATATTTGATATCTAGATATCGAACCATGGAAAGAGAAATAAAGTGTAAAAAAAATTATGAAGATTGGTAGATTTAATGAAGCATCTTTACATTCAATGAAGTTAAAGTTTGTTTGTATGCGGTGTTTTTGTGTAGGGGGTGGGGTGAGTTTCAATTTTTTCCCGCTCATCGGAAAGGTCTGATAAGTTCCAAAGTGTCCGCTCCCCTTTTTCTGCCTAAAATATATACAAGTTTTAATAAATTGATTTCTTTTAATGTGGCTGTGGTCCCCTACCCATACCCAAACTGCCCCTTTCAATATTCCTGGATTTGCTACTGCTTGCATAATCTGAATGACAAAACTAGTTATTTTTGTCTTTACAAACATTGGCGTCGGAAACAAATTGGTAGGAGGGGGGAGGGGGGATTAAGTGGAAAATTCCAACGTACAAAAAAAAAAAAAAAAAACTTGACAAGCCAAAAAAGGAAAATATATCCTTTGCCCAAACATGAAAATCCTATTTCTTGGGGAAGGGGGGGGGGGGTTGGAGGTGTCGAACTTCTTTCAAATGGTTTCCACACACTACCACTTAACCTTCCTTGGCTTTCTGCAACGTTCCTGTTGAAAGTGGGGAAGGGGGGGGGGGCTAAGCCTACATGTACGCTCCAATATCCATTGCCTATACCATAGCTACCTTTGCAAAAAAAAATAAAAAAATATATATATATATATATATATATATATATATATATATATATATATATATATATATACATATGCATGTACATACTAGTACTTTTTTCCTTCTCCCTATTTCAAGGAATATCTCTTTTAGAAATGAACTTTCTTTTAAAACAGAATTTGTTTGAAACGCTTAGATGAATACTCAGGATTTTGAGTCTATTTAGTATGTATTTTATAGATCTTTCGCTCGTACACCAGTTCTGAGCGGAGGGTGTGTATGATTCATGAATATCTAAAATAGTTTACAATAAATTATATTAAGTATGACTTCTGCATCAAGAATGTTGCTTTTATATCTGATAAATATATCGAATCTATGTTATTTGATTGACATAAATTTTCCGTTTTCCGTTCCGTTCCGTTTTCCGTTCCGTTTTCCGTTCCGCGTTTTAGCAACACCCGACTCCGCCGTACCCTAAAGGACATTAACTCTTGAGTTGTACATTGTTTATGCTTTGTCAAGAACTGCACATGCTATTATGAACTGTATGCTATCTTATAAACTGTATGCTTTGTTATGTAAATAATGTACATTTTCAGGAAAGCATTATTTATTTCTAAATTTTACAAATAAATAAACAAATATGTTGTCCAGTTTAAACTTTAAGTTAAAATAAATGTATTGAAATGTCGTAAATAAAGGTTTGAGACTTATTTTGGGAACAAATAAAAAATGATGCTACATCTATGTAAATTTAAATACATGACAGAACCCAAAAAAAGCAAATGGAAAACAATAAAAACTCAATAATTTATTTTCAAAGGTATTTATAGATATTCAAAACATGTTTTAGTATAGTGCTATTCTTCACTTGTTCAATTGTCATGCATTACAAAATATATAGTTGAATGTTTATGCATCAGTTTAAGTGCTTTCTTTGTTCTATTTACAATGCATTTAATTGACTGTTGCAATACATTGAATAAACAACTGTTGAATGCTTATATTGTCAATAAAGTATATAAAAAAAAAACAATTTACTTTCTTCTCAGTTCAAAAACCAGTTATGAGACCATTCAGTCAAGGAAAATGTAGTTAATAATAAATTCTCATATAAAAAAGTACAAATATTTTGTGTCAATGTGATACAAAATGTAGAATATTTGTGGATTAAAAAGTGCTCTGACAAAGAATTATCGACATGAAATTATAAATATTGGACAGGGAAAAAAGGAGATTAAAAATATGTACAATATCAAAAATGGTATAGTTGTGGCTTTGTGGCTTATTAAAGGTATATATACATGACATAAATATATACATAAGCACAAGAATTGAAAACAAAAGCCAACTGCAGTCTTCCTTCAAAGAGAGTGTTGTACTCATATTTACAATAATTCAAGAAAGTATCAGATGAGAGTCTAATTTGCACACTTCAACTGCATACAAAGTACTATAAGCATTGGATATATACCGAATACAGTTCTGTATTAAAAATTATATGACAGTTTGAGGCCCGTTAGGGCCAACGCATACCATTTTTTCCAGCACTGGCATGTTTCTGCTGTTGGTTCCAAAAAAGTCTCTGGAAACAATGCTCGTCAGGAAATGTTCTTTCTACTTCCTCTCTACAAGTTACCATCAAGTCTTTAATTTCACTTTCTTCAAAAGTCTCCTGTGTGATGCCCTTATTCTTTATCTGTCGGTCACATATCTTCTTTAATCTGTCCACTTCGCTGGTGAACGACTTGATTTCTTCTCTTTGCTGCCTTATTTTGGTAAGCAAATTTTCCCTGATCATCACTTTATGTGCCATTCTGCTATGAACGTAGTTCTTTTCTTGGGTATCGCCACGTCATTCTTCCTCTCTTGACTTTCTTTGCCTCAGAATTCGTCGAATTTCTTGACACGGCTTGCATCTATTTCCCTCTACCATCAAAGTGCAGTTTACAAATCGTATGCATGACCTGTAGGATACATCTCCCTTGGTGGCACAGAAATCCCCCTCTCTGTATGCAATAATATCTTCAGTGATTCCACTGCTGACACCACAGTCGACAGGTGTAATGCTCTGAAAATCTTCATCTGGACTCCCAAAACACACAGAGAATGTACATAGTCGTCACATCAGGTCATCTACAGTTGCTGCTGATGTAAACTCAGTAGGCATTCCTCTCCAGCATGAGTGGGTTCGTGAAACTTCTTTTCTGTGTACAAATAAAACTGCATGGAAGTCGGCATCAATGACAACTGAAAGTTTCACACCTGATTTCCCTGGTGAACTATGGTACATTTCCATGATCTTCACAGTGTCAATTCCCAGGTTCACAACATATTTCGTGCAAACATGTTGAATATGTGTACTAAATATAAATTGTGAAAAAAATGTCAAATAAGCCCTGGGGCTTTTTCCATTCTGTGATTTTATGCTATTGCAATTTTAGCTGCAAACTGAAATTATGAAGGAAAATTAATCTTTTATGTCACTTAATCTTAAATTAATTATTCGGAAAAAAAACTATTTTAATTTAATAAAAAATTACAGAGTGGTGAAATTTTAGTCTTAGTCGTAAGAGTTTTTGTGTAAAGGACCACAGATCAGTCCTGGAGTCGTTACAACTCCGGAGAACTGTCCTGGAGTCGATAGAATTCAGGAAAACTGTCCAGGAGTCATTACAACTCAGCGGAACTGTCCTGGAGTCGTTAAAACTCAGGGGAACTGTTCAGAAGTCGATACAACTCAGGAGAACTGTTCAGGAGTCGTTACATCTCGGGAGAACTGTCCAAGAGTCAATACAAGTCAGAAGAACTGTATTGGAGTCGATTGAAGTCATGAGAACTGTCCTGGAGTCATTACAACTCAGAGGAAATGTCCAGGTGTCGATTGGAAATTTAATGACGTTTAAGAAATACTGCACTGGAGAAATGGACACTTTCAACAGAAATGTACACCGAATTGTGTCAATTTGTTTTGGAATATTAATAAAACTAGACAGCTCATCTCTCTTCTAGTTCATTGTGTGTAATATGTTACACTTCCAAGTTTATGATATTTAAAAAAAATTATTTCAAAGTGCGCTGTGTGAATTTCGGCTTTAAAATCAACATGCATTTTTTTTCATTTTGTTAATATAGTGGTGACACCTTGCGTTTACGCGAGTTTTCGTTCATGGCTCCTTGAGGCGAAGGACCATCCCATTTAGTCGCCTTTTACGACAAGCAAGAAGGTGCTGAGGACCTATTTTTACTCGGATCCCCAACGGGGGGGGGGGGGGCATTATTTAGAGAATATATATTTAAAAGATGGAAAATCCTTAAACACAAAAGAGAAAAAAAAAATCTTTTTGAATTTGAATGAAACAGAATAAAGACTGTATTTCCATATTCTGCATTTGTTTGATTCTATATTTTATGCTTCAAAGTAGTATGGTTAAGATGAAAACAATAATTATAAATGGATTGAGAAAATGCAAGTTGATCAAGTCACAATGTGTATAACGTCAATATGTATATATGAATAGGCTCAGGATTTATTTATTTGTTTAAAAATATTTTTGTATATAAGTAGGGTTTTTAGCCTGTGCTATAGCATGCACCCTTACAATTCTGTTGATCATCTTAAAGAAATACCTTTAGAAATAAAATGCTATCTATGCAATTGTGTACGAGCACAATCAGCCCAAAACCAGACATTACTTTATCAACCATCCACACACCACCTTCCCTTGCAACAACCCCATCATCAAACCTCAGCACACCCCAACAGTCTGATACCTCAGCTCAAACACCTTCCTCAACAAATCCTCTTCTCAACAACCTACCAGTTAAGACCTCAACAAATCCTCTGGATGCAAGACCAGAGGAAGAGGCTTATGTATACATACAAGAGGAAAAGTCCCCTTTTTGAACAATAGAATTATGAGTTCCAGTCGTGAGCAGATGTCAGTACAAAAAAGGAACAGTGGACACGGTCAGCCTACTTCGGAATCCAACACTAGCGGTATATCCTTTGTTCCTCAATTCATGCCGCCGTTCACGCCTGAGTTACTCGGTGCAATGCAGACCCTACCGAACTTGCAGATAAGCCTGGGGGAAATAACAAAATCTTTAAAGGCAATTAAAGGCCTAACACAAGATATAAGTAATATAAGGAAAGATCTATGGGAAGAAGATGGATTTGATTTTCGTATATGTCATGTTGCTCAACAACAGGAAGAGAACATTGACAATATCCAGATGCTTCAGCAGGAAAACAAAATGTTAAGAGAAGATGTCAACATGTTAAAATCAGTTGTCATTAATTTAGACAGAACAGTCAGAAAACAGCAATCTGAAATTACAGATTTAAAGTCAAGGTCGATGAATCAGAATATTCTTATTCACAATCTACCAGAAGAGGAAGATGAGGAAAATTTATTTGAAAAAATTCCCCGTCTTATAAAGGAACATTTTGGAGTAGACACTTCCTTCGCAAACATTCATAGAAATGGGCCAAAAACTTCAGGTAAGCCTCATATCACTGGCAGGCTTTCAAAATTCAGTGATAAAGAAAAAATTCTCCAAGCGCAAAGAGAACTAAACAAAAGAGAGCGTGAAGCCTCTGACCAGACGGATCAGACTGCAGAACCAAAGTCACCCAAAAGAACCTTTTACGTCACGCCACAGAGACCAATAGAAGTCGCGGAAAACCGAAAGCAACTTCAGGAAATAAATGATCAGTACTGGAAAGAGAAAGTGAAGACACGATTCGTAGGAGACAAGCTAGTATTTCCAAATGGAAATGTGTACAGAGACAAAGTATTGAAACCAAGGCCAGAAAATATCCTAGATATGACCAAAGCAGATAAGGAAAAGCTTCAGCAGATTCCTATGTCTACCATTGAGTGCTCAGACGAAGGAAATACTTTCAAAGCAGCCGCAGCAACATCAGATACATACAACCAGGTTAGAAACTTTTTACAAAAAAATTGTTATAGACCCATCATACGCAACGGCAGAACACAATATTTTAGTGTATCGTTTCAAAGATGGTAACGGCGCAATCCATGAGGGCTACAACGATGACGGTGAGTACGGTGCAGGAAGGCGGCTTATTCAAATTCTACGATCGATGAATGTTACAAACATGACATGCGTGATTTCCAGATTCTATGGGAAACATTTGGGCTTTCGCAGGTTTCAAATCATGGAAAACTTAATGGCAGACATTGTTCTTGCACATAGTGGCTAATTATGTACTCAGGTCAGGTAATCAGTATATTGGAACTGTCGTGCTAAATGTTATGAGATGTATTTATAGTTAACCATCGTTAACATGGTCAGCAAATCATATGTAATATATGTAATGTATTTATTTCCTCTTTATCAAAAGAACTGGTTGCATAGTAAATGTAGTAAAATTATCAATGATTATTATTATATATACTTACGAATTTCAGATTAACGTCTAAATTGAAAATTGAGTAAATTTTCAATCCATTTCTAATATTTAACAAAACGGAATTTTCAGATCCGTTGTGTTTTGAGTCTAAAATTTGTCACCGTTTTTCCTTTCCGGTATCGAACCCGATTCAAGATGATAAACACATTTTGGGTTAAAAGCTAAGGTACTCTGAATAAAAATGAACTATCCATTTTTGTATATAAGCTGTATGTTTATTTTTTTGTGTTTTTGTTATAAACCTGGCTCTTTGTTAAAAAGGATTTTTTTGTTTACTTGCAACTGCATTGGTATAGACAATGTTTATCGCATTCGTTTTTGTTTTTTTTATGGTGAGCTTGTGTTGACGTACTATAACGAAATGGAAATAGATTATGTCTTTTAATATATCTATTATATCTCTGAATGTAAGGGGATTACGATTAATTAGTAAAAGAAGATGCTTGTTTACATGGTTTAAAGAAAAATTTCCTGATCATTTTATTTATTTACAAGAAACACATTCTACTGAGCTAGATCAACAAATATGGAAAACTGATTGGGGATCTGATATAATTTTTTTGCCATGGAGAATCAAATAACAAAGGAGTAGCAATTTTATGTCCACATAATATAGATTATAAAATAATTGAAAAAATAAGTGCAATATTGGCAGATTTTTAAAAGTATCCATTTTAATAGATGATTCAAAATTTACATTGATAAATGTGTATGCTCCAACAAAAGATAACTCAGCTGAACAAGTTGAATTTTTAGAATTTTTGTTGACTCATTTAGATGAAGAGAGTGATAAGAATTTGATATTAGGTGGTGACTTTAATATTACTTTAAATCCTACCATAGACAAACAGGGTGGAAGCATTGAAGGAAAATCAAGATATAGGGATAATCTAATTGCTGCAATGGAAGACCTAAATTTAAGTGATATTTGGAGAGAAAAAAATCCTGACAGAAAACTGTTTACATTTTTGCGAAAAAACCCAATTATTTTGTCAAGATTAGATTTTTTCTTGATCCCATCTTTTTTGGTACCTTTTGGAACTGCAAGTATAAAACCATCGATAAAAACAGATCATAGTGTTATAATCATAACTTTGAAAGGGAAAATATTTGTGGATAGAGTGTTATGGGTCAGAATAACCCTAAATGCCAGCAAAGATCAATCACACAGTTTAAACTTAACAATAATTTATTTACAGTAATATACAAATCATTAAGTACAAACTTAGCAAAAATCTAAAAATACATACTTCAGAGTGTCCGTTGCTGCACACAATGTCCCAGTGAAATTATATCCCAGTAATACGTACCTCAATGATGCTTGTATGACAATCGTATCTATGCATCAAATTGTCAGGGTATTTATACAGTAATATAAATCTATAATATTCTAGAAGTTGTAAGTACATGATATTACTGGAAAGTTCTGGATATACAAAGTTCAAGAATGTTCTAGAAAATTACCGAACATGTTGACCACTCTGGAATGTTCAAGAAACTTAATGTTACTAATAATAGACACGATGAAACAATACAAATACAACACACCTCACAACAAGAGGCCCTGGTTTTTGGAAATTCAATGCATCCTTACTACTAGATGAGATATTTGTAGAGAAAATAAAAGAAACAATTGTACTGTTAAAAGAAAAATACTCTAGATTAGAAAATAAACAGTTAAAATGGGACACAATTAAATGTGAACTAAGGGGTTTTATTGTAAAGTATTCAAAACTTAAAGCACGTAGAAATCGAGAGAATGAAGAATGTCTAACTAAGAAATTAGAGGAACAAAATGTAAAATTAGCAACAGACCCAATTGAAGAAAATGTAAACACATATAATAAAATAAAAGAAGAGTTGGAAATAATAAATGATAACAAAACCAAAGGAATTATATTAAGATCTCAGGCCAAATGGCATGAAGAAGGGGAAAAATGCACAAAATTTTTCTTATCTCTGGAAAAAAGAAATTATAGAAATAAATGTATTTCAACATTAAATATAAATGACAATATAGTACAATGTAAAAATGAAATATTAGAAGAGGAGTTGAAATTTTACAAGAAATTATATACATCTGACTTGGATTTTAATGAATATAAAGAAAATCTTGGTTATTTTTTGAATAATTCTAACATTCCAAAACTTGAAGCTGAGGAATCCCTTTCATGTGAAGGCCCAATTACAAATAAAGAATGTGAAAATATTTTGAAAACATTCAAACATAATAAAACACCTGGGACAGATGGGTTTCAAATGGAATTTTATGAGTATTTTTGGAAAGAGATATCAGAACTAGTTATAGATAGCATAAATGAAAGCATTAAAAAAAAGACCTTCTCTGTTGACCAAAGAAAGGGAATAATAACTTTAGTTCCAAAGAAAGATAAGGATAGAACTTTCTTAAAAAATTGGAGACCAATATCTCTTCTAAATTTTGATTATAAAATATAATCAAAGGCATTGGCAAAGAGAATGAAAACTTATTTACCTCATCTAATAGATTCTGACCAAACTGGATATTTAGAAAATAGATTTATAGGAGAAAATATCAGAACAATCTTTGATCTTATAAACTATACTAGTATCAAGAATATCCCTGGATTAATTCTTTTAGTAGATTTTGAAAAGGCATTTGATACAGTAGAATGGTGTTTCATTGATAAAGCTTTAGAACTATTTGGTTTTGGTGAAAGTTTTAGGAATTGGGTTAAAATCCTGTATACAGATATATCTAGTACTGTCATAAACAATGGATATGCAACATCTTTTTTCAAATTAAGTAGAGGGGTAAGACAAGGATGCCCTTTATCACCGTACTTGTTCATTTTATGTGTTGAATTGCTTGCAATAGCTATAAGAGCAAATAAAAATATACGCGGCATAAAAATAGGAGAGACCGAATTTAAGATTAGCCAGTTAGCAGACGACACTACATGTTTTCTAAGTGATGAAAAATCAGGAATTGAAATATTAAATGTTATTCAAAATTTTAAGCATTGTTCTGGATTGAAAATTAATCTGAATAAGACTGAAGCAATTTGGATAGGAAAGAATAAAAACTTCAAACCAGGAATTCTGCCAGTAAAATGGTCATTTTTTTTACCCTTGGAATTTGGTTTAGTTCAAGTGGGGAACAAAAAGTTCTTTTTAAAAACTTAAATACAAAACTAGATGAACTAAAAGCAACTTTGAATTTATGGAAAATGAGGAACTTAACACTTATTGGCAAAATTCTAATAGTAAAAACTTTAGCAATATCTAAAATAGTATATCAAGCACAAGTACTTCCACTTCCCCCACAAATGATAAAGGAAGTGTCTAAAGAACTGAATAAGTTCATATGGAATAATGAAAAACCGAAGGTTAAAAGTTCAGTATCTTGCCAAAAAATTAATAAGGGTGGATTGAAAGTTCCTAATTTTGAAGCACAAATGAAATCATTAAAACTTGGTTGGGTTAGAAGGATATTAAGTAATACAAAAGCAAGATGGAGAAGTACAATTCAATATTATCTGAAGGATATAGTATTAAATGACTTTATAATTAGCAGAGGTTGCTTAAATAGCCTATATACAGATTTAACATTACCACAGTTTTACAGAGAAATTTTTGAAACATGGACACAACTAAGATGTAAGGATATTGATATTGAACCAAAAATTTTTAAAGAAGCTCTTTGGTTCAATGATAACATTAAAATCAATAATGAAACTGTGTTCTGGAAAAAATGGTACACAAAAGGAATCTTATATATTGGAGATATTTTAGGTGATAATTATGATTTTTTAAGTCATGAGGAACTAGGTAAACAGTATGACTTAAATGTATCTTTTTTGATTACTTTTGTTTAAGGAATGCCATTCCATATCATTGGCGAAAATACTTAAGGCAAAACAAAAAAGTTTTAATCAATAGAGATTCTTTGTTCTTAAGATTCAATGATAAAATAAGTCCATTGTCAAAATTATCTTGTAAAGACTTTTGCTGGATTATAATAGAAAGTCTAAATGAAGTACCAACATGTGTACAAAAATTGGTGAAATATTTAACACAAACTTTTCACCTGCAGACTTAGAAAAAATTTTCATGCTACCTTTTGTGTGTTCTAATGAAACATCATTACAGTCTTTTCAATATAAGCTAACTCATAGATTTTTATCACATAATAAACTACTTTTTCAAATGAAAATTCATACTTCAGCACAATGTTTATTTTGTAAAAAAGAAGATACTTTAGAACACAAATTTTATTATTGTACTTGTGTTGCAACTTTTTGGAACCATTTTCTAACATGGTGGAATGATCTATATATATTTAATGTAGAAAATCTTTCTTGTAAAAATGTTATTTAAGGTATATATGAGAGAAAATGTGACTGTTTGAATTAATGCATTTTGCTCGCAAAGTCATATATACATTCGGTGACAGTATCTAATTTGGATGTCATTAGAAAAGTAAATGAACCAAAGTTTCACAACTTTTTAAATATGTTGAAAAAGAAATTACTGCTTAAAAGAGAAGTGTATTGCTTTAATAGTGATTTAGATAATTTTAATGAAATCTGGCAACCAATATTAGATATATTATAATAATTATCTTATATTTTATTTATTTTTCATATACTATGCTATTAAATTAAGTGTTAAAATCAAATGTAATTTCCCCAGTATAGATTTCTTTGTTAAAACAATGAACAGATAATTTGTATAAATTTATGTAGATAGTAAGCTCCACAATAGTTTTTAATGATTTATAAATCAGAAACATTGTCCTAAAGGATGTAGATAGATGTTATTGTCTATAGTTGAATTTGTTGCATGCTTTTCTATTTTATAAATTTGTATATGAAGAAAGAGCCAATGAAAAAATGAAAAAAAAAAAATTTACAATCTTATTGTTCAAAAAATTGACAAGCTACATGTAAATAAATGTAAATTTCGCTTTATTCCTATTTGAACGATTGCAGAATTAAAACGCCTTATAGACTGCCGATTATCAAAAGAAATTTTTTTAAAAAGTTAACTGAAATGCCAAGGATCAATGCCAAAGTCTTTCGAGGAATTCTCACCAGCAAGAATAGCAATGGATGGCACAGAAGTAACAAAAGAAGTACCAGCAGATATGAAAAGTCAGTCTTTAGCGTATAGTAACTATTAGAGAGGCTGCTCCTTCCCCAGAGTGCACACCTTTTCCCGTCAGATGCCAGGAACGTGAACCCTCATTTGTGGAGTGTGACGGCGCCTGCAAGTGCATCCATTATGGATGGAGCAATTGACTAACTGGGAATTTGGAATGAAAAGGGTGCTATGGAAGAGTTGCACCAACAAAGACTAAATGACCCAGATGTATTGTTTCTGAGTAACGAGAGAGTATAGAAAGAAGAAATAAATCCAAACAAATGTTCAATTTTCATGAGTATCTCTGATGTCAGTTCCAGAGGAGAACGTGTCATTGGATGAAATAGAGAATTTAGCAGACGTTTACGAAGCAAATGTCCAGTAGATGTGTCTTCATTAAAATCCAATGTGTTCTGATTTATACTTGCTTATTTGTGATGACAAAAACTACTTTTAGAAATGTTCTCTAACAATTCTGACGAAAACATGGTTGCTTCCGATAGTTCTGTCATAAAGTTTTTGGAAATGAAAAATCTTTTGTATTGAAATGTTTCAAATTGTGAGCTCTGTATAAAACTGGTTTGAAACGTTGCTACACCTGTCGTCACAATTGTATCGGCAGTCCCAGTTGAAAATGAATTACAACTTCCGCCGTGCCCAACGTCCTAGATCTACAGAGACGTTCATTGAAAAGGAGGGGAAAAAACCTCAGTCAGTTTTTGACTTATTTATGATTTGAAATGTATTTGTAATTGCCCTGACAACCCCATACTGGTATTTTGTTTTTGCTTTTAAAATGTGACCTGTATTTTCTAACTTTAAGACACCTTTTTCGGGGTATACTAAGGGATTTCGCTAACGAAGGTGGTAAGGCTTAAAGATCCAAAATCTTGGTCTTGTCGAGCCTAGTGATTGGTTCGGGAAATGTGGCTTACCATGGCATATTACAAGGGCTTTCCATAAAAAAGAAACTAGTGTTGAGAGTCTAGGCTTTGTGCACATCTTCCATGATCATTGATGTAATGGAAAATACTTATTCTAATGATGCATCGACTTCCCCTTTTACATGTCTGGTCAGACAATGCAGGCTACTATAAGTAAACAGAGATGATGGCCCTCCTCAAGTCATAAGGCAAGGTCAGGTCCTTTATTCTTCCTCTGTGAAGCACAAAAAGGCTAGGGCCCGTATAGGTCTGGGGCAACTTTAAAGGTAGCTCTCCGCCGCTTTGTGAACCATGATCATGATGTACCCACAGCATATTTAATGAGAGGTTTAATATCTCACCAATTTACTTATTAGATTATCTTTTCTGTTAAAATTCAAAATGTTCATCGATGTGAACTTGTTTTCTCAATAAGCCTAGATTGTGTCATGGTGCGGTACTTTTTTATGTTCGTCATACATTTAATCAAATAGAAAAACTTTGTCTGATTTTCAACGTACGAGGGGTGATCAAAAAGTTCGCGAACTGTCTCTATATCTACAAAACCGGAATTCAGATTAGAAGAAATATTAAACTCACGTAGCCCGACACAAGTTTTATAATTGGCGTATGTTGAATAACGTTTTGTTCCTTGTCTATGACGTCATAATGTGAAAAATGACGTCAATATTAAAATGGAACTGGAACTGAGTTTCTCGTTCTACTCTTAGCACCACGGGGATGGACGATGGGTTTCTAACTCCCTGATCCCCCCGAACCCAAAGTTCGCTACATGGGGGGAACATCTTAGGCACCGTTATTACGGACGATAGGTCCCCTCTACAATCCCAAAACGTCTGTTTGTGTATACAGGGCAAAATGCTCCGAGAAAACGAGATAACTACAAATAATGACACTCCACTTGACCGCCGTCCTGAACGTCATGCACGCTAGTGATCCCCGGATGAAGTCCGTGCAACTTTCCCGCTACCGCGAAAAACGTTGAAAGGGTGCGGATCCGATCATACATTTTAGGATTAATGTCTTTTTTTTAGCTTCTTGAAGTGTATGCGTATGTAGCAGTAAAAAAAAACAAAAACAATTTTAAACAGAAATGATCATATTAAGGCTCTCTCTGAGCGCTTTTACAAACATTTTAAATTTTATTTTTGTTTCATTCAATTATTTTTAAAAGTTACATGACAATAATTTTTTGTTTGTTTAATTGAATTATATTTCATAATTTTTTTCTCCCTCTCAGAGGGCAGAGATTTAAAGTAAAATCACTACGTTTCATAAATTTACAGTAATACATTAATGAAATCCGGTCAGGGTGTCCCAGTTATGTAAAAAAGTATTTGTCAAGTTATACAGAAATATATGTATAACCTTTGGTTAAATAACCTAGATGTCCTATATATGTTACAAGTATTGTAGAGACCTAGTTTTTTTTATTGGACGAGTTTGAAATTGGAGGGAAAATGAAATGCGAACAAACACTATAAAAAGACACGTTTCCTCCCCTCTACCCCCGTCTTCTCTTGGAAGTTTCTATAACTACTTGTTTAGCTACATTTTATTATTACCATTTATTTTTGTGGAATTCCAAAATGGATCAAATGAACAAGTGAGTTTTCTCAGTTTATCATTAAAAACAACTAAAGGGGGGTATAAAGATCCTATTTATATATGTTTTCAAATTCTCGTTAATTTTAATACCCGTAATTAAGTTAGAACAAGGTTTTTATTTTCATTTATTCTCAAATCATTTAGACAAGTCGTTACCGCAGACGTTCACCGTGGCGAACCGGTTTTGGACTCCCCCCTCCTGATGGAAAGTCAGATGGATAATCTTATGAGAGAGATAGATGGGTCTCTCTTCGGAGAAATCCAGGACCTAGACCCGAATAAACCATCGGTTAGGAGGGAACTGTTTCCGTGTGAGGAGCCCGTGGCTATTTCTTTGCCGGAATCAGAGTACGTATAAAGTAGATACAAGTATAAAATAGAATGTTTTTTTTATTTAAAATAACTGGATGTCTTTATGTCCTGTTTATTTTTTTTCAATTCCTAGAGAGGATGCCCAATCCATAGAATGGCTAGATAACATAGAGCTGGAGTCAGGCTCCGAGGCCTCAAATGACGCCTCGGATGTAATAGTCATTTCCGACGGCAGCCCGGATGACGAGAAGTGGGGTGTCTCAATGCCCGACCACAGGTGTGCATTTTGACGTTTCAAAAGATGATATATTCTTTCACATACGATATTAAGAGTTGAAATTTTTATCAGCATATTTATCTGTTTTCAAACAGATATTACTTAACTACGAAGAGGATCTGATCGAAAAAAAAAATTCAAATAAAAAAAAGACATTAAAAAACTGAAAAAAATACTCGCCAAAGTGAACGAGGAGCTCGAGGGAGTGCAGTTCACCTTGTAGTCCCTCTACTCCGACGAGTGAAATTACATGAATATTAGAAAAATAATCATTTTGACACTTTTTCTCCCGGTCATGAATTACTAATTAATGGAGTACTTGATGTTTTTTTGTGTGAAACATATATATCCAGGGAGCAATTACACCGCTGAGACATTGTGTGTGCCTGTGATAAGAAATTCTCTTCGTTGTGTTATTATTAATTTTCTCATTTCGTGGATATAGCTGATGAAATTTTTTCCCCAATTATCTTACTGAGGACTATGTGCGGGTTTGATTTAACATATCTTTAAGCCGTGTAAATATATGTTTACAGTGAAGTTGTTTTCACTAGGGATTTTTCTGCAACATAAATATTTATGACGGAAAGTCAGATGGATAATCTAATTAGAGAGATGGATGGGTCTCTCTTCGTGGAAATCCAGGACAAAGACCCGAATAAACCATCGGTTAGAAGGGAACTGTTTCCGTGTGAGGAGCACGTGGCTAATTCTTTGCCGGAATCAGAGTACGTTTAAAGTAGATACAAGTACAAAATAGAAATTATTTTTTTTCAATTCAAAATAACTGGATGGCTGTATGTCCTGTTTTTTTTCAATTCCTAGAGAGGATGCCCAATCCATTGTATGGTTGGATAACATCGAGCTGGAGTCAGTCTCCGAGGCCTCAAATGACGCCTCGGATGTAATAGTCATTTCCGACGACAGTTCGGATGACGAGAAGTTGGGTGTCTCAATGCCAGACCACAGGAGTGCATTTTCACGTTTCAATAGATGATATATTCTTTCACATACAATATAAAGAGTTGAAATTTTATCAGCATATTTACCTTTTTTTCCAGACAAGTATGACTAAATTATGAGGAAGACCTCATTGAAAAAAAAATCCAGATAAAAAAGACAAAACTGAAAAAAATACTCGCCAAAGTAGATGAGAAACTAGAGGGAGTGTAGTTCACCCAGATTTTATAAGAATGTTACGTAGTTTATACTTTCAAAAAAGATTTTTTCATCACTTTTGTTATATAGATTTAAAAAAAACTTTTATATTGTGTGAAAATAAACATACCTATAGATGATAAAGTGTTTGGTGATTTTTTTCCCTTTACATCTGAAATTTGACTATGAAAAGCTTGTGAAAACTTGGACTTTTTATACCGGTGTAATCATAAAATTGTCTTGGTACAAATTTCTTTAGAAGTTGCATTGTAATTTCCTTACAAATTGCTATGTCATTCCCCAAAATGTTTTAAAGGTGCATTGTCATTTCTCTAAAAGTTACAATGTCATTTTCCCTGAGTGTTGCTATGTCATTTCGTAAAGATCTGCAAGTTACTATGGCATTCCCCGCAATGTTTTAAAGCTGCATTGTCATTTCTCTAAAAGTCACAATGTCATTTTCCCTTAGTGTTGCTATGTCATTTCGTAAAGATCTGCAATATCATTTCACCAATTGATAACATCAGTGACTGTAGAGTACACCTTGACTGTAAAGTCACCTCTATCATGTTTGGAAAACCCCACGACGTCATTGACTGTAGACTCCTTGTCTGTAGACTCATTCTTTGCACTAAGTTAACCCATGACGTCATTGTCTGTAGACTCACTCTTTGCACTAAGGTAACAATGACGTCATTGACTGTAGACTCCACCCTTCACTGTAACCTCATATGACCTTTATGGGAAAAACCCATGACGTCATCCTGACTGTAGACTGACTGTTCTCTGTCCCCCTTTCTACTAGCATTCCATTTGACTACAAATTTCATTTGCAGATAGAGGTGGTAATTCATCTCAATGTGACAGATAAAGATAATGCTTTGAATATTCTTCAGGAGGAAATCTTAATAATCCCAAGGGACTTATTGCAGTATTCAGTTTACAAAGGGAACATATTCAGTATCAATGTAGAGATTTTTTTTCTCTCGATTAGTTATTAATTAGTTTTAGCATTTATTGAGAATGGACTTATGACAAGAAAGATTGATGCACTAAATCATATTCAATTTGGGAGGGGGGGGGGTTGGTGTATTGAGGTTAACTTATTTGTCAATTGTCCTTAGAATGACACAATGCTAACAGGGTTTGTGACCAAGAAGGTAGTTTACTGACATTTATTTAAATACATGGAGAGTCTTTCACTGAGTGTGTGCGTACTTTTTAAAAACACTACATGCATTATGGTCATGCGGGAAGAAAATTACGAAGTTAGTTATTTACCAAAATCCTGAAAATGATACAATAGTAGCAGGGTTTATGACCAAGTAGGAAGTACACTCACTTTCTGAAATTTAATTGATACATTTAGTGTCTTCTTATAGGCCCTACTGGAGATATTATTTTTTTCTAAACATTTCATACGTACGATATATAAGTAAATATTGCATTCAAAATATATGATTGAGTCAAAGGAGTTTCAGAACGTTCCAATTTTATTTCTGCTGTTTGTAATAGAAGTCGTTAACTATTTCCATTTATATATTTACTAGTTTTAGGAGGATGGCTCAGTACAGGGAGAATTGTTATTTTGATTTTGTCATATGCCCTTATGACGAAACGCTTGTGATCCGTAGGGAAAGACTATCTCGTCATCTTATTAAATGCCGAAAGAAAAAAAAATCACCTCTTGTCAGTATAACTTTTCTTAAAAGATTAAAAGGGTAGAAGTGAAAAACATAACAGTAACTGTGCAGACAAAAAGAATCATGAAATTTGGATGGAAAATGGAGAAAAAAATGTGAAAAAGGTCACACTTCTCTCCCCAAGGATACAGATGTGATAGAGGGTGAGAATTGGGATTGTTACTTGGAGCCCTTTCCATCAGAAAAATACTGTGGTTCTGTTCGGAAATCAAAAAGCAAAACAAGTGTTTATTTACACTTTTTTTTAAATCATGGTCATGTATGTCTTATTATTCTTTCAATATTATGTATCTTAATGTTTCTTTCTTAATTTACACTTTTTTTAAATCTTGGTCATGTATGTCTTATTATTCTTTCAATATTATGTATCTTAATGTTTGTTTCTTAATTAAGCTTAATTTGAAATCATCTGAAGTCTTGTTTTTTATCATTTGGTTGGAGTCAGAACTTGAGCCTTCTCTAAGGAAATGCTTTAAGCCTTCTGCTAATAAGTATTAAAATATGCATCTTTTATTTAAGACTGTTTTAGTACAAGCATATTAATACTACTAGTGGGATATTACTGAACAAATTATTAAAGAAAAATAGTCCGTTGATAAATGTACTGATATTACGTCATGTCGGGATAATCTTCACGCAGGTCTGAAATGAATTTTTTTTTAGATTTTTAATTTTTTAAATTTATTTCTAATTTCTTGATTTCAAAATATCGACAAATGTACATGTGTTCATAATTTCGTGATAAAAACGATAATAAAATATGACGTACTATTTCCGTTGAATTGGATCATTTGATTGCAAGTGATGGCTGTGCATAGAATCTCAAAACTTGGCCGTTTTACATGTAAAGCAGGCAAAAAAGGATATTAAATTCTAGAAAAGTCCATTGACTACTGCTAGGTGAACTAAGGTGACCCTGATAGTAAATTTTTATGGTATCATCCTTTTACTGTTGCTACGTGGACTAATTCCTAGGCTTTGACTGTTTTTTTTTTTGTTTGTTTGTTTTTTTATTTCCACATTTCAACTTTCAAATAGCAGTATATTTATAAAATCATTGTGGATTTTTATTCAACATTCACTCACTGATTCTTCCACCTCACTCATCCATTTCAGTATCACCTATGTATGAATTGTACACAAAGATAATTCAGTATACATATCAGTATATATGCATGTTTATATATTACACTGTGTTTACTATCACTGATATTTTTTTTTGATTTGTTAATACATTATAAACGTATGATTCATATAAGAAATTCATAATTATGATTTTACTCTGAAAATGAGGTTGGCTCTCTGTATTTCAAAGTACTTTGATAAAAAATGAAATTGAGTCAAAACAATATTGTGTTATAGAAAGTAGAAATTCGTGTATTTCTAATGGATTAAATAAAGAAAATCACACTGAATGTAAATATTTTACTTAAACTCCCCCTTGACTGTGACCTCTATGACCTGTGTGAGTGATATAGACTACCTTTTGACTGTAGACTCTCCCTTGACTGTAGACTCCTCCCCCCATCCTTGACCTCGTGACCTTACTGGGGAAAACCCATTACGTCATCATCCTGACTGAGCTCTGCCCCCCCCCCCCCCTTACTACTTATAAGTAAATCAAGTCTTTTAATTCCTTTATTGCAAATTTATTCTCAATTAAACTGGCAATCGAGCAGTAAAAAAGTTAACACTTATAACACCGTTCTCTCTCTCTCTCTCTTTCTCTCTCTCTCTGCGCGATGTAAACATGGAAACAGTTTCAAATTTTGCTTTAGTTTCATTCAATTATAGTTAACCAGAAGTCTCTGTCGAGACTGTAGCTCTTCTGGTTTATACTGAAATCAAAGGAATAGAAATTTAGCAATTGGGACTTGAAAATTGTAAACAACAATAAAGAGCAAAATGATCCTTGCCACTCATTTATATAACCTGATGTAAAGTATTATGTATCTAAGTATAGTCTACTTGTGTGCCAAGTTATATTGAAATTGGACCAAAACAGTAAGAGGAGTAGAGTCATAAAAATTCTGATTTTATTTTTGTAACCACGGAAACATCGTTTTACGAAATCAAAAACCGATGCACAGAATTATGTATCTACAGTTTTGGTCTGATTTCAATATAACTTGGCACACAAGTAGACTACACTAAGATACATATTCTGTATATCGTTTTTGATTTTGATGAACGATATTGCCATGGTTACTAAAAATGGGAAATTCTTTGAAAATTCTTTCAAAACGCTACTCCTCCCCCAGTTTTTATTTGATTTCAGTATAACTTGGCACACAAGTAGACTACACTAAGATTCAAAATGTGTGTGAAATTCTCTCAAAATGCTACTCCAAATACAATTTTTGTCTGATTATATCCTAATGTGGCATTCATGTCAATCTAATTAAAATTAGATGTTAGACCCGCTCGCATACTCGTTACATCTAATTTTAATTAGATTGCATTCAAGTAGACTACACTAAGAACTTAAAAGAGACTTAAACATGGGTCATTATTCTATTTATTGCTGTTGTAAAGTTACAATTCCCAACTGCTGAGATACTTTTCTCTCCCGTCACATTGACCCCAATAAACCATCTGTGGGGAGAAAACTCCGAGTGAAGAGCCACCCATTGCTCTTTCTTTGGAATCAGAGTACGTATAAAGTAGATACAAGTATAAAAAGGAATGATTTTTTTATTCAAAATAACTGGATGTCTGTATGTCCTGTTTATTTTTTTTCAATTCCTAGAGAGGATGCCCAATCCATCGAATGGTTGGATAACATAGAGCTGGAGTCAGTCTCCGAGGCCTCAAATGACGCCGGAGATGTAATATCTGACGACAGCTCGGATGACGAGAAGTTGGGCGTCAAAATGCGCAACTAGGTTAATGGCTACCCAAAGTAGATCAGTGTATGCAGAACCTCGGGAACTCGATTATGACGTCATAGTGAAATTGTTCAAATGAATATCGGGGAATAAATAATAATTTCCTTTTTCATATACTCTTACATACTTTGATTTCTCATGATAATTGTAAATATTAATCAATGTGTAACGTATCTTGTCATTTCAACACTATTCGAATGTAAAATCAAAGCCAACTTGATCTCGCTGTACTAACAGATATGACGTCATAGGCTTGTTTGACACGCAGTTTATCTGTACTCGAGACGCAGATAAAGCTATTAGCTGAACTGAAAATATGAAAATTAAATCTAAGTAAGCATGATCTGACTTTAATTTATTAATATTTTTGAATGCATTTATCAATAGTTCACAGTCTTACTAAGTATTTAATTGATAACTATAAGGTCTCTTATAAAGCCGCAGTCATGCACTTTTATACAGAAACGTACCACAATCACATGTACAGCCCCTCCAAAATCTCAAAAGTTCAACGATATACGCTTGATTATAAATTATAATATTTTATACACATGTAGCTATTGTCCCTACTATTTTGAAAAGTGCTGGGAGCAAGTTGTGCGCTGTTGAGTTTTTCCGTAGTTTTACATTTCTTCAGTGCGTGTAGTGTAAATGCACATAGTTTATCAAAAGCCAGCTAAATTTTATATATATTTTGGGCATGGAGAAGTTGCTCCCAGCACTTTTCGGGTTAAGAAATTTGTCTTAAAGAAAATACGATCAATTTCATGCTGAAAAGTTATCCGTATATCGTTGAACTTTTACGATCTTTATATCCGTACATTTTTTTTTTCTAATTTTGAACATGTCACGTGACAAACAGCTGATGTGCACGTGAAGTCGCGTTGGCCGAACTCGGTTGAGACCCCATACAATCATATGCATTAGTAAAGTTTCTATTAAATTTAAACTCATGCTAATAAAAAAAATATCAACATTATATTTATTTTATGGGAATATTTTAAGGCTTATATCCTATGGGCGGCCTTAACCTAGCTGCGTGCCCGACCACAGGTGTGCATTTTGACCTTTAATAGAGGATATATTCTTTTACATACAATATTAAGAGTTGAAATTTTATCAGCATATTTATCTTTTTTTCCAGACAAATATTACTAAATTATGAAGAGTACCTCATTGAAAAAAAAAATATAGATAAAAAAGACAAAAGACTGGCCAAAGTAGACGAGGAGCTAGAGGGAGTGAAATTCACCCTAAACTCCCTTTACTCCGACGAGTGAGTTGCAAGTATAACAAAATTATTACGGCAAGTACACGTAACTTGGAATAAAAGATCCAGTGTAACATTTAAGTAAATTACTCCTTTATTGTATATTCATTGTTCTCTTTTTATGATGGAGAGTATTGCTTCAATTTATTACTATCAATAAGATTCAGCTTAATGCGTATTTTTTAATGATGGATTGTATTGCTTGCCCCATATGGCTGACTTAAACCACGCTGTGAAGATTTATATAATGCTCATAATAAATTTTAATTTCAATTGAATCATGACACCATAAATACCCTGTCAATTGTAAGTAAACTTAAATATGTCTCTCTCCCACCCAAAAAACAAGTTACACATGTATCAGACTCTGTATCATCGATGAATGCTGTGGTTTTATGTTCTTACTACTACTTAATTTATGGTTTGTTGATTTAATCTATCAATAAATTCAATATTGTGAATAGTTAATTTTTGAATATAGCGTATAAAACAATGGCGAAATTCACAATGTAGATAGTTACCGTTACGGGCGTTTAGGCTCATGTGTGTTCTCATTGCTCTGCTAATACTTCAAGGCCTTAATGCTGCTAGACTATTGGAGGCATGTTCACATGGAAGGTGTAACTGGACGGGAGGGGGTAGGTAGTGGCTGTATTGATTTCAAGTTCCTATCGTTTACCTATTTCGACCATGGCGGTGCTCTCGTTCTCCCATCAACAGCTGTACGTGTTGTTGAGATCGATCTAGAATACCCCGCTCCAATGTGAAGATCTGGATGCAGTTGTATTAGATTTTGATCGCCCCATCACCTTTGATTCAGAGGGAAAATGTGTGAGTACACATTATTTGGTTGTTTACGTTTCATAGATTGATATTTAAGCTCCATGTACAAACTTATATTCTATGTTTCATTTCCTAAATAAACAAAGTAGGTATAAGATTATGAAGATCGAATAAGCAACCCATCAACTTAAGTTCACAAAAACATATATTGTGTGCTTTCACATTGCACTATATAACATCAAATTATTATAATTAAATTGACACAAAATGAGTTTCATCATTGTTCATATTAAAACAACACTTTTTTTTTATTAAACGTGGATTTTAAAATTTCCGTTTGAAACCCTAATTTTGAATATCATAGTTTATACAGCGTGAAAAAAGTACATAAATTTCTCACAGGTTCTTGCATCCTCCTATAGGACAATCAGTGCCACCCCAAGCAGGGTCAGTTGAGTCAGCAGTGTCACCCCCAGCAGGGTCATTTGAGTCAGCAGTGTCACCCCCAGCAGGGTCAGTTGAGTCAGCAGTGCCAGCCTCAGCAGGGTCAGTTGAGTCAGCAGTGCCACCCCCAGCAGGGTCAGTTGAGTCAGCAGTGTCACCCCCAGCAGGGTCAGTTGAGTCAGCAGTGCCAGCCTCAGCAGGGTCAGTTGAGTCAGCAGTGCCACCCCAGCAGGGTCAGTTGAGTCAGCAGTGTCACCCCCAGCAGGGTCAGTTGAGTCAGCAGTGCCAGCCTCAGCAGGGTCAGTTGAGTCAGCAGTGCCAGCCTCAGCAGGGTCAGTTGAGTCAGCAGTGTCACCCCCAGCAGGGTCAGTTGAGTCAGCAGTGCCACCCCCAGCAGGGTCAGTTGAGTCAGCAGTGCCACCCCCAGCAGGGTCAGTTGAGTCAGCAGTGCCACCCCCAGCAGGGTCGGTTGAGCAGCAGTGCCAGCCTCAGCAGGGTCACCGGTGCCAGCCCAACAAGTGCTACAGTCACCAGTACTACCCCGTTAATTGTCAGCAACATCCTGGTAAGTCTTATAGCACAAAAAAACTATACAGTCACACACCACAGAAAGTAGACAATGTATGAAAGTGACCATAAATATGGAATTACTTTCAACGAGCCTTATGTTAATGTGTAAAAAGTATAATAGTAAGTCTGAGTATCCCCCTATAATATATTCTGTTAAAATCCTCCTACAAGTTTCATTCTTTTAGAGTGATTCCAATGATGTTGAGGATTAAAGTTCCTATATTGGTGTACTTATGACCAATGTTGTCAGAAAGTATTACTCGCAGTGATCTTAATTATCTTAAACAGTAGAATTTAAAAGGGCAGAGAAGTAAATATCCTGGTGGAATTCCTTGTTTAACAATCGCTGAACCCTGGTAATTAATTTTTGAGATGAACTAATCCTAAAATGTTACATTTTTACGATATTTTTAACGAAGCGGGGGCTCTTCTCATTTAATTTTCATTGAAAATCGTTGTATTTTAAAGCTGAAATATCTAAACTTTCCTTATATGAAAATCTACTAATTGGAATTCAGCTCTTCGCAATACACTGTACTGTAGGCATAAAATTATTCAAATCATTCGATTGTCACTACTGTTAACAATGCCATGTGCCCAGTAATCTCGGGAGATTTGAGCCTTCTCGACTCCCCCGCAAAAGAGCGGTAGTAAGTTTGATAACACCGGGGTAATCGCGATTTTAAGTATTGTTGGTCTTGATAGTTTAAAATCTGCTTACTTTACATATTCAATTAAGTTGATTGGACTAAATATTTTATCAAGAATATACTTACTAAAGTATTATAGACATACTTTCAGGTTCACATATAGTTTTATATTACATGTATCTCAGTTCTAGACATTTCAGGTAATGATTTCTTATATGACATGACTTTATTTTCCTTTTTTACTTCCTTAATAAACTAACAAATACTTTTTGTTGAATTTTGTTGTTGTGAATATGTGGATAAAAGAAAGAATTGTCACAAATTGTTTCAAATTAAAGTGACGGATGTGTTGGGTGTAATCTGACTTCATATTGAAGACTATCAGAATACACATAAAATGTTATAGTTTATAAAAGGTACTTAAGGTATCCGACCCATAATAGGATCAAAATTTGTAATATTAAATATCAATTGTTTGTAAAATATACTGATATTATTTTAAAGCATTTTAGGGTAGAAAGAGATTTACCAAGAGAAATTTTCAAAAAAATTATAACCTAAGCAGAAATTAATTATTGAAGATTGCACTGAAGTCTATGGAAGGAAGTAAGTTTTTTTTAAAATAAAAAAAAAATACTTCAAATATCAAATTCATTACAATATGTGAGAGTGAAAATCAGTTCCGAAGAAGAAATGCCAAAATATTTGAGATAAGAGCTCAATAACAACAAAGAACTAGGGCGCATGAGGGACAAACTAGAAGCCGTTCAGCATTCCAAGCAGAATTTTAAGGTGGGTGACAGGGATATGGCATTTGAGTAAAGTATCCTGAAGGGAGTGGTGAAAATAAAGCCAAACATCTTATACTGAATATGGAGACTTTTAAGAATGAAAAAAGAGCCCTCGTGCAGATACACAATCTTTTGGATAAGTGTTGTTTAGCAAGAGCTATTGTGGTCACTCTATTGTACAGTAAAAACCAGAGCACCCAGACCCCGAAGAGATCATTTGCTGTCTTGCTTGGCAGAAAATAAGTTGTGTCTTTTTCCAGCTAAAGAAAGAGATGTGCAGAGAACGGTATCAAAATCGCTGAAAGTACCACTGTATTGCATTTGCAGGCTCCCAGATAATAAAGAAGAAAAAAATAAATGCAAAGCATGGTACCACAAGTCCTCCATCTTCATACCAAAACATTTATTTGTCTTGCTTGGCAGAAAATAAGTTGTGTCTTTTTCCAGCTAAAGAAAGAGATGTGCAGAGAACGGTATCAAAATCGCTGAAAGTACCACTGTTTTGCATTTGCAGGCTCCCAGATAATAAAGAAGAAAAAAATATATGCAAAGCATGGTACCACAAGTCCTCCATCTTCATACCAAAACATTTATTTGAAGACAGAAAAATGGGTTCATGGTACTGCACAAAGTGAAGATCTAATGTCAATCAGACCAAATAAATTGTCATGCATATCTAACAGCTAATCTTTTAACTGCAATCTTTATCAATTAAGATGCAAATTGCTCAAAATTTGAATTCTATTAAAGCACGTATTAACTTAATAGTATCTTTCCATTTTCTTTCCTCACACAGTATCAAGATCGCGAAAATTTCATTAAAAAATTTGACTCCAATATTTCAGAGTAGCATTTTTCTATTACATAATATATATAGATAATCATAACAGTAGATTTTTTTTGATAGGTTTTGTTTCCGTTGATCACTTTATAACTTTGTGCCCTGTCCTTGTTGAATGCATTAAAAAGATTGTTATTGTAAACAAATATACAACATTGTATAAGTGGGCTTAAGTATACAGATTATTACCCTTTTCTAAAACATTTACTTTTTACAATGTGTAAATTTTTGCTACCTAGCTTTCACCAAAACTCAAATTAATGCTAAAGCCTAAATTTATTTTGGCACATGTATATGCGAATGCATTTATCTATTAATCATTTGTTAACAAATGTTTATATATTCCAAATTTATCCTTTACCTCTAAGAAGAAATATATTGTGGATTCATTTTTAAAATTATTCTATTCAAATAGAAGTTATCTTTTTTAATTGTGAGTAATAATGGCCAGTGTTTTATTTTGACTGCATGCAGTGAAATAATTTTATTTTTACTGCAGTAAAAATAATTTGAGTGGAGTAAAAATAATTGTAAGTAGAACGGCCAACCTAGTCTTGTTTATATCTAAACAGTTTGCAATAGCTACAGTCATGTACATCAAATTATACGTATATAACCCAATCTTTAGAGTCCAGTAATGATTAATAATCCTCTCAAAGAAGGCGCACGATCTGTTCATTATACTTTCATTAAAACAATCCTCTGGTTCATGCCCTCCCCACCTCTCCCTAAACTCAAATTCAATAGAAACGGCTGATTATAAAGATTTGTGGTCAAATTCAGGTTGTACACACTTCATCATCTTAAGGCGTGACTTGATTTTGTTTAGTATACAAATGGACATAATTTATCATTAGTTAGGTTTGGTGACATCGCTCATTTGGCCATTTAAGGACATGAACCTTTTCACCATACCGACTTGTTTAGAAGGAACAGACGGGATAATAATTTTAACAAAATACCACTTGGGATTTTGAATCTCCTTCTTCTGTAATATTTCATTAACTAAAAATTAAACCTATGAATTACTGCCATAAATACATAGGAAAAGTTACTTAACGATCAATAAATTTCAATGAAATTTTTGATCCCGGGAATTTTTTTTCTTTGCATAGACGTTTGTAATTATCTATTACTGCCGAAGTAAGTTGTACACAGTTGATTCCATTGCGAGCTTCTTGTTTAAAGGTGCAGAGAACAAAGGAATCCTGACATACGACTGCTAGAATTGGACAGTTTAAGAATTTATTGACCAGTTAACAATACAACAGTCGTACTGTAAAACTTAAACTCATTCATTAAACTCAGTTTTTATACGCCCGTCTTAAGACGGGTCGTATTATGTTATAGGCTTCATGTCCGTCCGTCCGTCCATTCCTGTCCGGCTCATAACTTGAATACTATTAGGCCTAGGATTATCAAACTTTGTCAACTGATACTTCTTGGGTAGACGGTGTGTCGCGCACAAAAAGTAGGTCGCTCTGACCTAAAATAAAGATGCTATAGCCAAATATGGATAAATCCTGTCCGGCTCATAACTAGAAAACTATAAGACCTAGAGCTTTCAAACTTGGCAAAAGTATACATCTAGAGTAGAAGGTGTGTCGCGGCCTATTTCAAGGTCACTGTGACCTTTTATTAAAGTGATTTTTTTTTAAAAACTATGTCTTTTAAATTCTAAATTTCATAATCCTAAAAAATGTAAAAATATAGTTGTATCCTAATTAAAAAACGTTAAATTAAGTAAAATCTTATTTTTTCATTATATACTTTACAGCAATCTGTAACAAATGTTTATGCTTTGAGAGGAATTCAGTTTGTCCCATGGGCATAATTATCAAGCACTGGTCAAGAAGAATTTCGATAGCAGAAATTTGTATGTCAAATTAGAGAGAAATTAATGAGTTTATTGTCAGGAGCTAAGAGGGTCTTTAGATCTGATGCTGAGTTATCTTAATTTATCCCTTGAGAGTTGGGTAAAAAGAAATGGCCTCATGGTTGCTTGTGTTAATTAAGAGTTCTTGATGGTTAGTCCAAGATCTTTCAATTGGTGTAATTAATTTAAACAAATTGATGGTGTAGTGTATGATTAAAACTAAATTAGTATTGCACAATATGATTAAAACTAATTATACATGTTCATTGAAAAAAAAAATTATATTTCAATTTTTATATATTTGCAACAATTTGCAGTCATGCCTCACTTAAAATTTTATAGTCTGAAGAATAATTTATGTTTGATTTTTGACTAGCATTATTTCATAAAATATGCAATAAACAATTTTAAGCTGCAGATCGATGGGTATTTGTTATGCTCTAACATAGTTTAGAAGTATATGATGTTATTATTTGTTATAATCAATCCCTACACTGTAAAGTCTCTTAGAGATGTATGATAAGAAATGGAAATTAGATAATTGAAATTTGTGTCAATCTGTTAATCAAGGCTACCTGATTTTCTTTCATCTTAACCAATTCATGATTATTGAATAATATTTGACGGGCGTATCATGCTGTGGCGGGGCACTTTATTAGCTCTACTGGTCAGAGACCAGAAGAGCTTATGCGATAGTAATGCGTCCGTCGTCCGTCCGTCTGTCTGTCTGTCTGTAAACAATTTTTCAAAATGCTACTCCTCCTACAGTTTTGGTCTGATTTCAATATAACTTGGCACACAAGCCGACTACACTAAGATACATAATTCTGTGCATCGGTTTTTGATTTCGATGAATGGTGTTGCCATGGTAACCAAAAATAGAAGTTTCTGAGAAATTCTTCTTAAATGCTATTCCTACAGTTTTGGTCCGATTACAATATTATTTGGCACACAAGTAGACTATACTAAGATACATAATTCTGTGCATCGGTTTTTATTTTGGTGAGTGGCAAGGATCATTTTTCTATTTATTGCTGTTTTAAAGTTTCAAGTC